AGATTGATGAACCTCAGATTCAGGAGGAGCAATGTGGTTTTCGTGCTGGCCGTGGAACCCTGGACCAGCTCTATACCCTTAGGGGGATCCTGGAGGGTGCGTGGGAATTTGCCCAACCAGTTTACATGTGTTTTGTTGATTTGGAGAAGGCGTTTGACCATGTCCCTTGGGGGGCCCTGTGGGGGGTACTCTGGGAGTATGGGGTACCAGGCCCTCTGATACTGGCTGTTAGGTCCCTGTATGACCGGTGTCAGAGCTTGGTCCGTACTGCCGGCAGTAAGTCGGGCTCGTTTCCAGTGAGAGTTGGACTCCGCCAAGGCCACCCTTTGTCACCGATTCTGTTCATAACCTTTATGGACAGGATTTCTAGGTGCAGCCAAGGTGTAGAGGGCATCCGTTTTGGTGGCCTGAGGATCAGGTCTCTGCTTTTTGCAGATGATGTGGTCCTGTTGGCTTCATCAGAACGTGATCTTCAGCTTTCACTGGAGAGGTTCGCAGCTGAGTGTGAAGCAGGTGGGATGAGAATCAGCTCCTCTAAATCTGAGACCATGGTCTTGATTCGGAAAAGGGTAGAATGCCTTCTCCGGGTCAGGGATGAGGTCCTGCCCCAAGTGGAGGAGTTTAAGTATCTCGGGTTCTTGTTCACTAGTGAGGGAAAACTGGAGCGTGAGATCGATATGTGGATTGGTGCTGCATCTGCAGTGATGCGGGCGTTGTACAGGTCTGTCGTGGTGAAGAGAGAGCTGAGTCAGAAGGCGAAGCTCTCGGTTTACCGGTCGATCTACATTCCTACCCTCACCTATGGTCATGAGCTTTGGGTAGTGACAGAAAGAACGAGATCGCGGATACAAGCGGCCGAAATGAGTTTTCTCCAAAGAGTGACTGGGCTCTCCCTTAGAGATAGAGTGAGAAGCTTGGTCATTTGGGAGGGGCTCGGAGTAGACCTGCTGCTCCTCCACATCGAGAGGAGCCAGTTGAGGTGGCTCGGGCCTCTGGTCAAAACATGAAGACTTTTAAAAAATGTGTATTCACACAAACAAATGCATGCATGTTGGTTTAATTGGACTCTAAATTGTCCGATGGTGCGCGAGTGCAGACTGATCATGTGTCTCTGAGTGTCCCCACCTCTTGCCAGATGACTGATGGAGTTAGACATTAGCACCTCGTGACTTTAGTGAGGAATAAGCGGTTAGGTTGATGAATGAGTGAATATCTTCAATAAAATCTTTTAGCTCTTTATCTGATATTTGTTAACATCATCATGACAAACAACAGTTTAATATGAGTGTGGTGGGAAAATGTAGCAATAACAAAAGATGTTTTTTTTTATTCAAAATCCTTCAGTTTTTCATTTGCTCATTTTTGAAAATCAAAAGACAAACATCCTTGATTCATGCATTTAACCTTCATATATCCACAGAAAATAGAGCCTGATTATATCCTAATGAATCATATTGCTGATTTCTGTGCCAAAGCTGCTTTGCTGATGAATACTTTGAACAAATAATCATAAAAACTACAAAGGCACAAATGTTCTGGATCCAAATGCTCGCCAGAGCTGCTTGTGGAGGATTTGACAGTAAAAGGTAAACATTCAGACATCATTACACTTCTGTTCAGATATAGATTTGGTGTTTTTCCCAATTGAAGGCCATAATCTTCCAGCTGTCAGTTTTTATTTAGGTTAAATGTCAAATAAATGGTGTACATGCATGCACATGGATACGTAGGGATTAGCAAGAGAGGAGGAAATATCTTCCTGAAGAGCCTCAGGTTGGAGAAACTGAGTTTATAGAGCACATGATTGATAAGCTAACAGCTAGTTAACGAGAGTACAGGCAATAACAATGTTCCCGTTGTAGATGGCATCATGGGACGCCTCAGTTTGGAGAAATAGTGTGTTTGTTCAATAGACTGGGTGAGCTAAGAGATAGTAAGAATGCAGTTTCCCCAAAACAACCAAACAAACAAAAAATTAAAGAGATCAAATAAATATTTTAGCCTCCAAAGACCCTGTGTCCACATGTGGACACTGTGTGTGTGACTTCTTGCACTATAATATTTTATTCTCATCAACTTAACACTGTTTTATTACATAGAGACACTTGATGTTAACTTTAGGTTTAAAAAGTTTTATTTTCCTTGTTTTCAGAAGTTTGTCAAAAATTTTGATTATATATAATCGGGTCTCAGGAGGTTAAGGATGTGTATATAAATATAGGAGAGTTTGCTTTACATGACGTAAGGCCTCTAATAACAGAAACTGTACTGAGATGGGTCTAAATAGCATGAGAACACTGCTAGAACTGAATTCGAATAAATGAAACATTTTTAATAGAAAAATTTCTTCGTAATAAATCAAGAAAATTGCATTACTTGAAATCATGTAAATATTCTTAAACATGATTCAAATTGTCTTGTTTGATAAAAAAAACATCTGCAAACGTTGCTAAACTCACAAAACGATCTAAGTTTAGATTCTTAGATTTTAGGCTAGTTTAAAGACTTCCAGCCAGGCAACTAGTGTCATTCTTTGTATTTTTATTTTTTTTTTCTGAAAACAAGTACATTTGGATCATATTAAAAATATGTTTACCTCATTTTATGTAGTGCTATTTTTCTTCAGATTTGATTTAAAACCTTTTTACAGAAAATACGATTAAAAAAGTACCTTCTTAAAAATCAGTTTTTGCAGTGTAATTACATCCATCTCCATAACGTATATTAGTAATGCTATTTTTCTTCTTTATACAATAAAAATAAAATAAAATGTCTAAAAACAAGGCTTTAAAGACTTTTTTAGACATCAGTTTTTGCAGTGTAGACACGTTTGAGAGAAAAACATGTTTACCTGTTTTATTTTATGACGCCAGGCAGAACAACACATGTTTACAAAGTAATGCTAAGGCATCAGAATTTCTAGAACAATTACACTAGACCAGCTCTGTTTGTCAGGTCAAGCTACTGCTGTACATCTACACTCATCCAAAATCCATTTTGGCCTGGAATTGTTTTGGGATTTGGTGATTTCCCACAAGCCGTGAAAACCAATTTAATGATTGTTGTGTGATCGATGGATGATGGTCTCTCTGGGTGATTAAAGACACTTTGATTGTAGTTGTAAATGAACCATTTAGTGAATATTTTTACTTTGACCTAAGCTGTTGAGCATAGTGACAGCAAAGTTACCACTTTGGTGTCATAAACATCCAGACAGGAAGTCTGGATTCATTTTGAATGTGTAGAAACTGGAGCAGCAGCAGCATCTTCCAATTTTAAGTCATTATTAAACACACACACACACACACACACACACACACACACACACACACACACACACACACACACACACAAAACTGCCTAAAAAACAAGAAACACTCAGTTCTGAATGTCTCATAAAACTTTTTGGCAGGAAAAAAATGTTAACAGCTCCTTAATGATTGCATATTTATTATTTCCACTAATCCTCCAACACAGTCATAACTAATCATTCTCTACCAAACACTCAACAGTTTCGATGCTATTTTGCACAATCCGATCAACGCTTGCCTATTGTTAGCACTTTATTGCACAACACCGGTCAGGATGTCCCCCGCGTCTCCTGAGCCAGCATCCTGTCCTCGTCGTCCATTCGAGGTACGAACACATTAAGGCTGAACTCCCAATAGCGTGTGTGATGGATGCCCAGGAATAATGAGCTCTTTATGAGACTTAATACCTGCTGTTAATCAGTGGACATAGCAGGGCACTTTTCAGTACTACCTTCCAAGCATTTGAAAATGAGCCCTTGTTGAATGGATTGACTCACATTCTGTAACCTGCACCCCCCACCCCCCCTACTCTCACTGGAGCATGCAATTAGCCACATTACATAGTCACAATCAAATGGTGACTGTCCTTCAGAAAACACCTTTGTATTTGTCCAAACACAGAGCTTTATTTTATTTTTATTTTTTATTTTTGCAGTAGGTAGGCCAGACACATCTCAGCCCCAACCATGGACGACCCATTTATTACTATGAATATCACATCTGGACAACTGTTGGAACTGTTCCTGTCAACCAGAGCTGCATCTTTCTTTGTGTCGTGCTTTAAACTTTAGCTCTCGTCTGCAGTGCTGAACGCTCCCCGACTCAACAAACTGACCCGGCATCAGGCTTCATTAGAATCATGATCACATGCAATCTGCACCCACCCATGTGAGGTGGAGGAAGTGAAAAGGCTGTTGCAGTAGGGATGGACGAGTCCAGCATCACATGTGGAGCTACACAGGTGGTTTTTCTTAAGCCGTCAACCCAGGTGGTGCAATCTTTTGCCAGCGTGCCACAGCGGCATCAGTGTGTGTTTGTTGTGTACAGTAGGTGTGTGAGTGTATTCATTTGGGGGTGTTTGATTATCCTTTACAGGCTCTGAGGGAGCCAGATACATTCTCACTCTGATAATGAGGGAGAGACTTTCAATGCCCTCAAGTCATTTCTCCTCCTCCTCCATCCTTCCTGTTGCATCCGGCTGCCTTGTTTTCTCCTTTCTGTCTTTGCCCTTTACCTTGTTTTAATCTAGATAATAAGTCTGTTGCGTCGTTACTCTGTCTTCTTTGCCTTTCCGTCCACTTTTGTTGCATTCGTGCGTGGTTGCCGTGCGTTCATGAAGACTGGAACCTGTTTGAGTGGCTTTCTGTTTTTATGTAATAGATTTGGATGCTGGATGACTATTTTTCATCAGCACGATCGATGGCTGACTATCTCTACGGACCACAGGTCTGGCAGCTCTGTTTCTTCCCACAGTAGCCTTACTTAGCCTGCATCAATACTCCGATGAGTTGTATATTTGCCTGGTTGCTCAAATGTCCACTCGTGGTCCCAGCTCTGCCTTGTTTTGTCTACAGGGACTGCGAGGCATGAGTGAGCCTCAGCAGAGCTTCTGTTAATTTTAAACCAACTTGTCATTGTTTATTTCTTCCCTCTCCATCTTTTCTCCTCATTTTTTGTGTTGTTTTCCAGGTGACTGAAGCAGTGAGTGACATCGAGGAGGCCCTGTACGAAGCCTCTCCATCAACCATCTCTCTGCTGTTTCTTCGACATCCACCTCCAGCCTCTCTGATACTCACCACTTCACCCAGCTTCAGTATGGACCTAAAGGACCGAAGGCACCGCTCTTTGACTAGAAGTCGTTGTTCCAAAGACTCCCAGTACAACACGTCCTCCCTGGATGCGGATGAGTGTCGCGTGCCGACGCAGAAGTCGTACAGCTCCAGCGAGACGCTCAAGGCCTTCGATCATGAGCAGAGGCTTCATTATGGCGGCTGTGTGACCGACCTGGTCCACCATGAGGCTGAGGAGTACTCCAGACAAGGTGGGTTTGTGGAGCTAATCACCCATCCCATAATTATTTAGCCTCATTTAGAGCTTAATTTCAACTGTGCGTGAAGTAGAAAGCATAATTCGTTTTACAACGTAGATGAATGACTGAAAAGCATTGATAGCATTGAAAGGTATGTAAAGGTATAATAAGGACGCAAACAACCAGCAACAGTTTGGATTGACTGGAATCAGCTAAAATAGATCTGACGGTACTGTTGTGTATTTATACACCTAATCAATCAATAAGGATGGTTTAGTTCTTTTGAGTAGGTTGTGGTGATAATTATAATAACCTCGTTGGATGAACCAACAACCTAATTACTAGGTTGTTGGTTCATCCAAGTAGAACCTAGTTGGTTGCATCATATTTCTGCCAAAATATACATCCACCTATCTATCCATTCATCGATTCATCCATCCATTGATTCATCTAACATTCATTCAATAAACCATCCATCCACCCATCTGTCCATTTATCCATCCCTTTATCTATCCATCCATACAGCCATCTAATATTGATTTAATTAAACCATCCATCCATCCATTTGTCCATCCATCCATTCATCCATCCATTCATCCATCCGTCCATCCATCCATCCATCTATTATTGATCTAATTAAACCATCCATCCATCCTTTGTCCACCCATCCATCCATCCATCCATCCATCCATCCATCCATCCATCCATCCATCCATCCATCCATCCATCCATCCATCCATCCATCTATCTATTATTGATCTAATTAAACCATCCATCCATCCTTTCGTCCACCCATCCATCCATCCATCCATCCATCCATCTATCTATTATTGATCTAATTAAACCATCCATCCATCCTTTTGTCCACCCATCCATTCATCCACCCATCCATTCATTCATCCAACATTGATCCATACCATCCATCCATCCACTGATCCCTCCATCCACTTGTTCCTCCTCTGGTTTGTGGGGATACTGGTGTTCTTTTTGTAAAGCAGTAGCGTGTAAACCAGTGAAATACTAGAAATAATTGCTGGAAACTGGAGTTTTAAAACAGCAGAAATATGTTGTATCTGTCAGCAGTGTGACTGGATGTTTGCTCTTCTGTTTAATCAGAACAAGTCTTTATTTCAGGAACTTTCCACCAACACCCACAGCCTCTTATTTATGATTATTCAAATTTTTAGAAACATGGCTTACATTTACAACCAATACAAGGGGATGGATGAACATTTCAATTATATAAACTGATTTTTGTAATCACCTTTAACATTTTTAATCACAAAATGTTATAGTGGTTTAGTTAGCAGTGGGTCACTGGGCCTTCATAGGGCTGAGATGCATGATAAAAAAATTTGTGCACATCCACAGTCAAACTGGATTCCAGTTTACTTAAAGAAAACTGAGAAAAAGTCAAGTATAAAATTCTGATTTACAGAAAAGGCTTGAAAACTTTGCCAAAACCTTCTCCAGTTTTCTGATTCACCCTCATCACAACTCCTCTTCATAAACCAGATGCAAACACGATACATAGAACACGTTCATCAGAGAAAAGAGCTAATATGTGTGCAGCGATGCTAACTAGAATCTCAAATAAAGCAGCTGGCAAAGCCAGTGCAGGTCTTTTGTGCATGTGTCTGGGCTGGGCTATATGGAGTTTTAATGTGACAATGAAAACACGTCTTCTATGGCACATCAACACATTTTGCTGCGTGCTTTTGTAAAAGCTCTGTAGTTCTGTTGTTATTCAAGGCTGCATGAGCTCCATCTGTAGAGTTGCAAAACATATGATTTTGATACTGCTTTGCAGAAGAGCACCACAGCAGATCTTTTTCCCTACCAAAGCTGTCATAATGAACTTTTGCATCCCCTGATGAGCGAGCTAGCCGATAGGCCGATAGGTCATTTCTAAGGGGGTGGGTCAGCTTGCTTTTGACTGTGCTGTGTCTGTTTAGAAACGTGCATGTGTGCGCTGTGCAAAGGGACATGAAACAGAAAGTATCGATCCTTGGCTGGTGAAAGGAGTCAGACTCAATGGGATTGATCTCTGCTAAGCTCTGTTTTCTCTGCACGGACACAGACAGGAGAGGAAGCCGGCTCCGAGCAACACAAAAATGTGGAGGAGAGTAGAATAGCACCTCAGCTCTGCTCAAAAGCGATTAAACGTACATAGACGAGAGTCCAAGGAGATGTTTTCAAAGTGCAGCATTGCCTTCAAAGATTGAAATTGTCTCATTGTGTGAAGCTTTGAGAAATTAAGAGAAATGGATCAATCTTACAGCAAAAATATCCAACAGCAGCCTTCAAAATGGATACCGGCGCTTGAAAAAAGGAAACACAACATAAAATGATCTTTGGAGGCGATGGTAAGAGCAGAAAGTTGAGGATTGATTGTCAGAATTCCTGATAGACCAAAAGTCAGTGGTGTGTGCTGCTCGGACACACTCCAGTGCTGCACTGAGCTGACCTCACACCAGGCGGTGGCTGGTCGATACCACAGTGCTCTCAGCCTATTGGCTTCATCGAAAGCCCAGAGCCGCAGATGCATCGTGGGAAGTGTGGCCACAGGAGACCAACAGTGTTGCAGCACCATATGGACTGTGACACTATCGGAGGAGGAGGAGTGCTAGAAGGATGGAGAATGAGAATGAGTTAGAGTGAGAAATGCAGAAGATAGAGTTTTCTTAATTATTCTCAGATATTTTTATAAATGAGCCATTAGTGTGACAGGGACTGAAACTGTTTTTTAGAGTTATAGAACTAGAAGCTCAGGATAAAACGTACCACAAACAACCTAAATTACAAATAACGGACGTTTCAGACCACTTTTGTTTTTGTTAATTTAAAATCTAACAGATGGTTTGTTCTAAAAAACCTGCAATATTAGTCTTTAATAGCTGATGGGGCTGTAGTACAAAATTTGATTAACTTTGATTCAATTATAATGATGTTTTTCTTGTACTGCAGCATTTTCTGCCTCTTCTGCAGAAGTTTCAGCTGATGCTCATCTCAGACTGCTATTTTGTTTTAATGGTTATCAGCAGCACTCACCAATTCACAACACGGTGGTGTGTTAATGCATTGTTCGACTTGCACTCACAGCTATCATTAACTTCATTGAGCACGTGCACTCATAAGTGCCCATACAATAACACAAATTGTTTCTGAGCTTGATGGATAATAGAGTCGTTTACAGTAGAGCTGTTGAAGTTGGGCAAAGCCAAAAGCAGGTGTGTTGCACGGCAGCGACATCAAAAATAAAATCTGCTTCTGCAGTCACCAGAGTGTGTTCTCATTGTGCTCCAACCAGACAACGTGTCACACATGTTCGAGAAATTGTTTTTTAATTTTAATTTTTACTAAAACTGACCATGCAATAATACTTGGTGGCTCTTCTGAGCAACGTCTGTGGTTTTTACACACGATCCCTTCTGTAAGCCATAGCAATAAAATTAAACCACACTGACATTTTCTGTAATCTTTGCTCAAATACGGCATTAAAATTAAAAGATTATATTTCCTGTTCTTTCTTTGGATGAGTACGGCTAATCACAACAGACCAAGAGAGGATTTCTTCTGACTTGAGGGCCATGTTCACTGGGAAAATGTATTTTACAAATGTGATCGGCCACTCAGAGATTAACATGCAGGCTGAACGTGAAAACAGTCTTCCATCCCCACGTCCTTCGTTAGCCACTGATAGAAAACAGACAGGGAAAGGCCTGGATTAGAAAACCCACTCAGATCTATGTCACTTTGAAAATTCTCATTCATGGACTCACCCATCTTGGCTCGCAACAGAGAAGCCTGTTGTTGGTTTAGCGTCAAGGAGAGAGCGGTAGGAGCTAACCGTTAGCATTAGCAACTTCACAGCATTAACTCGTTCAGGCTTGTGTTATTTGTGGAGATAAAACGTCAACATTGCAAAGCAAACAGAGTCAGTGGTAGAGTTGCAGTGCTGTTAGCCAATCAGAGGCTAGATGTTGAAATAGGAAGTAACGCCGGGGACACACCGGCCACGGAAGCGCAGCGAAAATGGGACTGCCTTCATTCGGCGCCCTTGTTAAGCTATTCTATAGACCACATGGGCCGCTGAAGCACCGCGAATCGCCTCGCGCCGGCTCTCCAGCCCGCGCCGTGCAGCGATCGTTTCGGCGTCGGCTCTATTTTTTCGCGAGCCGCGAGTGAATCGCGTGAATTCTGGCAGGAAGTCAAACCTAGACATAAGAGGCAGGCCGGTAAATTTGACAAAATAAAGCATTTCAAAATAAAATTCCGCAATAGTCAAATGTGTTCGTAATCAGACACTGCAGAAAAACCACACGAACACACACACACATACACACACATCAAACTTGTGTGTGTGTGTGACCACGTGAAGGGGGTGTGGTTTTGGGTGTCTTTTCACCGGAGCAAACAGGACAGAGAGGCAGAAAATCTGAGGCAAGCAGTTAAGATGGATGACTTTAAATTAATTATGGAAGTTGAGAAACACAAGGAGCTGTACGACCCCCGAAAAACATGATTATTTACGTACCCATTTCAGAAGAAACTGCTAGGATACAGCTGCAGAATTGGAGCGGGTTCCAAGAGATTCAACTGGCAGAAACAACTCATACCATTGGTTCACACACACACACACACACACACACACACACACACACACACACACACACACACACACACACACACGTACAAACACAAACGTAGAGGAAAAGAGCTGAGAAAAGGCAGAGAGGAAATGGAGGACGCCGTGTGGATAAAAGAGAAACTACAGCTGAGCCGAGGCGCGCCTCGACTGGGCCGCGTCTGATCTGAACTGAGGAGCGGCGAGCAGCGGCTGAATTCCGTGAGCGATTCGCTTCTCGGCGCTTCGCGGCGCTGCCGCGGCTGGTGTCCCCCCAGTGTAAGACTCCAAATCCTTCTTCAGCTCCCCTCTGCACTGGCTCACTTCTACTTCCTGAAACAGGAGCGCCAGAGCTTTTTTCCCCACAGAGATCGACTTACAAGGC